TCAAAATACTGGAAGCCAGAAAGATATTAGGAAAATCAATAAGGTAAAAATTGTCATCCTACTATTTGGAATAACTCCCACATAAGAATTAATTAACACAATACTTCTAGAACATTAAAGCAATGCTGCAATATTATTTCTACCCATAGAAAACAAAGATACAAACCCACCTAACTTCTAGAGAGAGTAGTTGAAGAAAACAAGATTAGAAAGATGAAAAGGCATGTCGAAGAGGTCATTTCTGTCCTGTTGTCACACCATTTACCCTCTTCAACTAGAAGGATAAGTGTTGAACTTCAGTTCATCCAAATTCCTCAGCTCTGTCATCAATGCTGTGACACATTCTAATTTTCTGACTCATTTATGATGAATAAGCTTTCCCTTTTCTATTCACAATGCTAAAAGTAACCAATTTTCGTGAGTTATGATTACTTCTTTTCCATTTTTTATCGCACTGTTATTGTTTCCTCTGAGCAAAGTTTGTCTCACCCTTTATCACCCAATGTGAATCCCATGTGCGGAAAAGCCGTGGACAGTAACGTCGCCTAGGCTTGGAGTTAGTCAGGAGGAATGAGAGTCTTACGACCCAGATTCCGTTTATAACCCAGCCAGATACCTCAGCTGGCAAGTGGCTCGGCTTCCTCACCATAAAATGGGTATAATAATAGCTTTCCCTTACCACTGTGAAATATTTAGAATACAAATCAAGCCAAACCTGTCTCCTTCCAAAGAGAAGCTTAAACTAGCCTGCATAATCCTGAATGAGCCCAGATTTCAGGGGGAAACATAAAGTGGCAAACACCTAGAGGTAGTGTAATTTAGTGGTTAAAATATGTGGACTTTGGAATGGTACCGACTTATTCAGACGCCAACAGCTGTTTGATTTGGGGTAAGTTTCCTAATTTCTCAGATCTCCCTTTTTTCTCCAGTATATTGAAAGTAACAGTATTTTCTGTTGTAGTGAGGATTAAATGATATACTGTTAACAACGCTTTTCAAACTCTTCCACTTGGGTGATCCTCAAGTTAGAGTGAATGATCCAGTACTAAAGGTGCCTGCCAGAGCATTGCCTAAAACAGTCTGCCACAAACAAGACTTTTCAGTGTGGTCTCAGGTTTTACCCTAAAAATACATACAAATTTTGCTTTATATTTTTGTTTTTCACTAACTGGAAGTTCCACGAGAACAAGAACAGTATCTGTTTTGTTTCTTCTATAACATTCAAGAAGTAGTTATTGGATAAATTAATACATCTACAATAAAAGTTTAAATTACTTACCCACAAAGAAAACTGACCCTCCAGGAAGATAGCCATGTCTTTATTATTTATGTTGTGGCTTTTTGTACTCCCCATTATACTGTTCCACATCCCTGGGTATGCCCATATCCAAATTTGAGAAGCATTACTTAGCAAGATACCTGAAACTACACAAGGTACTCAGTAAATAGTACCTCTTGTTATCATTATCATTTCTCTGTTCAACATTTCTCTACCCCATTGTTGCTAAGGCTCTATGGGCATTTTTAAAAAGAAATTACAAAGCACTAGGAAGGCAGGAGTCTGGGCTTCAAAGAAGCCTGTGTGTCTCTAACTGCATACCCTCACCCACTTGGAGCTCTATTTCTTATATATTTTCTTTATTCCTAGCTTCAATTTGTAGTGTTTTATTAAAACTTTCTAGGAGCAAGGAGCAGTAGGATTGAAGGAGGGTTTTCTCCCGTCTCTGCCTAGGCCAGATGTTACCAGCCTGGGATTCATGGATGGCCCTTCATAGAGTCTGGGAACTCCCTGAAACTTGATATTTTTGAGGAGTTTTCTGAAAAGACATGTTTTTATAGGAATCTGTATCACCTTAAAATATTGATAACCACTACCCTAGAACATTGTGTAAATTGGCCAGGCATGGTGGCTCAGGCGTATAATTCTAGTACTCCGGGAGGCAGAGGCAGGAGGATTGCTTGAGGTCAGGATTTCGAAACTAGCCTGAGCAAGAGTGAGACCCCATCTCTAGCAAAAATAGAAAAAATTAGCCGGGCGTGGTGGCACACCATGGTGTGTACCTGTAGTCCCAGCTACTCAGGAGGCTGAGGTAGGAGGATCACTTGAGCCCATGAATTTGAGGTTGTGGTGAGCTGCGGTAATGCCACTGCACTCTACCAGGAGAAACAGAGTAAGACTCTGTCTCAAAAAAAAAAAAAATTATGTAAATTGAAATTAGAATTGACTAATCTTTAAAATTACAATTAATAATACTTTTAGTTCCTTGGAGATTGACACAATATAATAATTTTCACTTGGAAATCATAAAACTAAGATTAGACTTCACCATAAGTCATCCCCCTCCTCCTCCTCTCTCTACTCATCCCCCCACCACGTTTTAATGTTCTGAATTATTTAGGCTTTACATTTTCATATTCTTTGCTAGATATTTGTGCTTTGAACCTAGCAAATATTTTTAATCTTTGTGGAATTATTATAGATAATTCTTTGCATTTCAAATAGAAACAACTTATAGACATATAATGTGAAGGTCACTTAGGTGGTAAAGCATGTAAATAACAATTTATATGTAAAATAATAATTCAAATTGAACAAATATAAATCTATGTATATGAACACATAGTCTCACAATTGCAGAGCAGATTAATATTCAATCAAGAAGGAGGTGGTCTTCTGACATTTATGAGCATTTATGAATTGTATAAGAATTCTGAGATTAAATTTTAGCCTTAGTATTAAATTTGGGATCAGTATTATTATTTTACATTAATGTATAAGGATAACAATTATACCCAATAAAATCTTCAATTTAAGTTGGCTTTGTATTAGACTGTGACATACACACTGTGATTTTTCTCTCCATCTTGGATTCCTGTCATTGACAGCCAGCCTGTGTGTCATTTGACATCCAGGAAAGATGGCTTTTCATTCCAGACCTTGGAGGTATTAGTCAATCTGGGTACACTGATCTCTTTGATCACATCAAAATTTAATTTTGACTAATTTTACGAATAAATGCTTCTTGAAATTTAGAAAGGAAAGTTATATGCTTAGATGTGAGAACATAAACACTAAATATAGTTTTTAAAGAGCATAATATATTATTGAGAGTCATCAGAAAAATGATAATTGAACATATTTCATAGAAAATCACTAATCTTATTTCCTCCTTTTCCCCAAAGGTTGGGAAAGAAAGTAAGCTCGAAAAGGGTGAGGGACAGAAAGAAAGAAAGACAGAGAGACAAGAAGATAGGAAGGAAGGAAGGGAAGGAGGAGGAAGGGAAGGAGGAAAAGACGGGTAAGTAGATAGGGAGGAAGGAAGACAGAAAAAAGCTAAGAAAAGATGCCTCAGTGCAGTAGTCTAGTATCCTGGATTGTAGAGAAGACTAGAACATAGCAAAACAGAGTTTTAAAGTCTTTGAAGACCAGTCAGTCTTTTTTTTATATTTAAATTTATATGTACTTTCAATAAATCATACATAATCTAATTATCTTGTTTAAAATTTTCATTAAACTCGTCAATTTTGTGAAACCTTTTGAAAGCATTGGAGATCTCCAGCCTCTCTCGTGTTAGCGTGCATTATAATCCAGGCTGCAGATTTTCATCTTAACTCTTCTTGTCACCATCCTTCACACCTGCACCTACACGGGCAGAGTTTTGCATTGGCCACAAAGGGGAAATCGTTTCTTTGGAGTGATCTCTGCAATTGTGCATTTGTCCAGAAAACTTTCTGAGAAGGGAAGTCTCTTTAATTGCTAGTTTTCTGCTTTAACCTTTTTCAGTGCAAAGTTACTTAATCAGGTCCTTCTACTTGATCTCCTTTAATAAAGTTTGTTTTACATGTTTATGGAGGCCTTATGTGAAGGCCTTAAAATCATGGTGTCAGAGAGACAAGAATTCAATCAGCATATATTAAGTCCTTGATATGTTTTAGTGAGGTGGAGATGGTGGTGGGGGGACCTGCTTTGTTTTCTCAATATGCTTGTTTGGTTTATTAATTTTTTTTGGATCTGCTGTTACTTCAATTTTATCCTCCTGTAAGAGAAGCTATCAAAACAATGGTGGGAAGACCAGTCCTATATTAATTTATTGATCTAGAGATTGAAAAGGATAATTATTGGATTTTAAACACAGTAGGAGAAACTGTTAAGGTCGAGGCCCCCCAAACCTGAAATTTTCATCAATAGAGATGTGTTTTGCGGGATAGATGCTTTAGTTTAAAATCACGTTATCCGATTATTTCCCAGCGTATGAGGGACGTTCTAGGCTGCTGACAAGGGGTAGAGGAGGCAGTATCAGAAGGGAAGCCAAGGAAGCAAGGCAGACTTTGCCAAGTTCTCAGCAACACTGAAGGTTAGCAACACAGAGATGTGTTGAATTTGTTCAGAGGCTCTTCTCAGCATTAAACATAATAAATTTACCTTAAAAGAGCCAAATTTTATCAAGATTTGAATCCCCTTTGTCAAAATTAGCTAAAATTAGTCATGTGCTATATAGTAAAGCTTTTACCTGTTCTATTCCATGCCACCCAAAAGAACTTTCTGCAGCGATAGAAACGTTCTGTATCTGTGCTGTCCAATAAGGCAGTGAGTAGCCACTTGTCAGTACGGAGCACTTGAAATGTGGCTAGTGTGATTGAGGAACTAAATGTTTACCATTTTATTAAACTTTAAAGAATTTGAACTTAAATACACAAATGTGACAAGTGTATTGAACAGTAGTACAGCTCTAGAAAATTCTGTATGGTAGAGATCAAAATGAAATTGACAAGGATCTTGGCATTCCTTGTGCTGGGAAAGTACTACACTGGTCATCATAGCAGGGGGTCACACTTTGGAAATTTTTTATTAAGCTGGAGCTCCTTTATTTTGGGGCTTCAGGTAACAAAATGAGCTCCTTTAGGAATGACCAGGCCCATCTATACCTAGATTTGCTTTCCTTCTTCCCACTGTATCATTGGATTTGTTTTTAATTCCTTGTTTTTTCCTTGATTTTCAGCTCTTTGACCATCAGTCTGTGGCCTGCCCCTGCTTTTTATGTAAGTAAGAGTGATTTTTTTTTAACCTTTAAAAAAAGTGGCAGATGTGGAAAATTTTGGTCTTTTTTGGCATATTTTCTAGTTGACTTTGTTGTGGTTTCTAGTATTTCTTTAGTAAGTATTAGCTTCTTTTGTGTTTGGAATTGTTGCTGTTGGTGGTAGTGGTAAGTTGCCATCCATGAGGGGGCCGAAAAGACCAGTGGCCCAGCCGCTGTGCTTGTATTATGGTACCTTTACTTGGCCACAGCTGCTGTTTGCAAAAGTCACTGCTCTTCTCAACTATAGCCTACATTCTGCAGCCAAATACCAGCAACAGTTGAGCTTTTGCTCCACTGTCAATCATTGGGCAATTATTTGTTCTTCAGTTATACACCCATCCCTAGGTCCAATAGTTTTTAATTTTAACTCATATATCAGAGCTTTCATTTATTGACAAAATTTCTAATATCCTTTTACTAAGAAGTACAAGAATGAAAATTAAATAGGCTAAAATTTTGTGCAAGATTATAAAATCTAGGAGGAAAAAGAATTTAGGATTCACATATCAGAAGGCTTATAGAAGGTACCATTCTTTTTTAGAAAACATGAGAAGGCATTTGGAGGGAGAAAAAACCCTTGATTTTATGTGAAAAAAAGAGAAAATTTATTATTTAAAGCCCAAACAGGCTGCACTGAATGAGTTCGGTTAAATTTTACTTTAAACTACTTGAAAAAGGTTCTGGGACAAAGAACCCAAATAATCAAAGTCACTATAAGAGACACCACCGAAGAGATCCTACAGGTAATGACAGTCTCCTAATGTGATAAATAGTCATCAACATCCTCTGGCTGCTTCTCACTCTCTGGTGAGCACTGTCCCTTAATCACAACATTACATCTTGCTTCACTGAGGTATTTCTTGTGTTCTAGTTATTTGCACAGAAAGGAGGTTCCCATCGCTCTTTTTCTTGTGTGTGGCTTCCAGTAACATTCCTAGAAGCTAGTGGCAAATATATTTAGGGGATCAGAATCCTCCAAAGGATGCTAAGGCTAAAGTCTAATGTGACAGTTTATTTGACAGAGAAAGGAGATTGATTAAACTCCCCAAAGACTGGAGCTCTGTGTAATGCATTTATACAACACGGGCGGGTCCTACCTGCCCCTGACAGGTCTTGTTATTCTCTATTCTCAGTGTCGATGGAGTGGGTCTGTTAATGCTTTGGAGGATGTCAACGTGCATGCTTATGGTTACCACTTTATGCCTCCACATCCCTCCCCTCAGTTACCTAGCACTGCATATTTCTAGTCCTCTGACTGGCAAATCATTTTTGTTACAGTTCTTTTGTGTAAAAACAGTTCACATAATAGCTCTGTGTTAGACAAGGCATTAATCCTCACATCACCGGGATGAGTCAGCACAGTGCACTCCTGCCCGCACGGCTCGGCTATTATGACGTCAGCGCTATAGGGCGAGCCTCAGACACAAGCAGTACAGAGGACCTGTGTCACTGATTAGAAATCAAGGGGCAGACCTTTGAGATAAAAAATATTGAAAGGCTGTCTCTGGCTCATAGGAAAATGAGAAACTGATTCTGTGCTAGTTCAACCATCAGTTGCACAGCTTCTAGATCCTATTTTTTAAGCCGGAGATAAGGCCAGGGGAATGACGTGTAGTGAGCTGATAGTCCATTCATATACCCATGACCTTGTCCCACCCCTGCGCCAGGCTTCGTGTTTGCTTGGATTGTTCTAAATCCTGAGACTGCCTTATGTCGGCAGGGTGACAGGGCCTATGACAATCCTGCTGTCCTCAAGTGCCCCATGGACACAGCTGATGGCCCCAGGGTGGTACCCCAGAGGCCCATCAGAAGGAAAATGTTGCTTGGGAAGAGATCAGAACAGTATCTCCCCAGCACTTCTACTCCAAGTGCCTCTTCAATGGCCTCCTCTAAACAGGTGCAGACTTCTGCGTGTTCGACCTTCTCTTCTTGGCACTGCATTTAGTCCAGTGTCCCAATCTGGATTTGACTGAGATTTCAACAGGAACTGAATAGCTACCAGATGTTCCCCCAAGAGTTTTCCATTCCATTACTATTGAGCAGAAACAAAGAGGAACCCTCCCTCCATAACCTGCCATGCTTCCTTGAAGCAGGTAGCACAGACTTGCCCTATTGGGAACCCAGTTCTTGTAAGTTAGGCCCCTCTGCAATTCAGACTCAGATTTATTCTCAGGAAAGTACCTTTTAGAATTAGAAATTAAGTGTTGAAAAGGGTGATAATTTATAGCCTCGGTGACATTCTCTGTTAAAAGACATTCCTCCATCGCAGCATCCATCCCTCACTCTTACTGTCCCCCCAGCCAGTTACCAGCCCTCGTGATCAGAAAGTGCCTTACTGCTGGGATCTTCTGCCTTCATTAGATTGCTAATGGGCTCCTACCATGCCTATAAAAGCTAATACTACTGCTTGGCTTAGTTTTGATTAATTATCATGCACAGGTCTTTATTTAGTTTTCAGTCAACAAACATTTATGGAAAGCTAGTCACATGCTTGATTCCAGGAAATCTAAGATAAATAAAAAATGCTTCCTTTCATTAAGAATCTCAGTAATTTCAATAAGTGAATAAAGGCTATAGCATGTGATAGGCGCTGGAATTCAGGTGTAGTGAGAGGAATGAGAAAGACGTACCCACTTGCATGTGGACATGTGCCCAAGCTGGGTCTCGGAGTCGAATGAATTGCAGTTTACCAGGTGGATATGGAAGAGCAGAAATAAAAGGGGGTCATAATCAGGTCAAAAGCAAGAGCATTTACAACATGAGGAGGCATTAAGCAGCAGCCAGCTCCAGAGGTCTAAGTAGTTCAGTATGGCTGAAGCGTGGTGGATGAAAGAGGAGTATGAGAGATTGAGCTAGAAAAAGATAGGAGGCAGATCACAGAGGGCCTTGCATGCCATGCAAAGGAGTTTGGACTTGATCCTGCAGGCTCAAGGAGTCTATGAAGAATTTTAAGCAGATTCATGTTTTAGAAAAACACTGGTGATAGTAGAGATGCCTGGCTGAGAATATGGAGACCAGGTCAAAGGTGAAAACCAAGGGCCTGAACTGTGCAGTGGGAGTTGAGTGGAGGGGAGAGGCTATTTGGTAATGTTGACATAGACATTAATATTTGCATAATTCCAGCATGTCTTGGACCACTGCATAATCTTTGCCTTCTAAGAGAAAGGCTGATACCTTATATGGGACCAAATTTCAGAACAAAATACATCCTTATGGGAGCTTCACCAAAGACACCTCAATTTGAATCTGACCCCACTCTTAGCTGCTGTCTACTGGTCTCCAGGGGTTTGCGTCTCCTTCTGCCCATGGTGAATGTGGGGGAGGAGCAGGCAGATGAGGAAAAGATGTTCTCAGTGTTCTGCTTTTCTCTTCTTTCACCTGAAAATGAAACAGTTTCTAAATAATGTCCCCCTAAAGTCAAACAGTCCCCCAATTTCCTATCATTTTCCCATTGCTGCCTTTTTCTAAGCAAAATTTCCAAGCCATTGATCTGAATTGCAACTTATGCACAGCCGGGTGTTGAAACAATTCAGTGTATTCATTCCTTCTCTCTGAATTAGAGTTCACCATAAGTGTGCTTTTCTCTTGTTCACTTTGGGCTGCCAGGACAATTTAAAGGAAATTTTCAACAGCTTATGTCTCATGTACCATGTTCTCTTTTGCAAATGGGAGGATATGCGTGGGTGTATTTAAGTCTTCTCTATATTGCTTTCTGGAGAAAGGTTTGAGAAGATGAACAAGATGAGGAGTAGGGACCTATCGAAAGCCCAGGTCCCCCAGTGACCTGAGTGCAGAACGTAGGCTGGTGATCAGATGGTCAATTATGTGTTTGTCAAAACACAGTGGGCTGCATTCCAGACTGCCAGCTTTGGAGGCCCAGCTTCTGCCAACCAAATGTCATCTGGGAACATGCAACACTGGGCACTGTGAAGGAGTTTGAAATAGACCATGCCACAGCCAACCTACTGCCAGTCTTATAGCACCAATATGGCATGCACAGCCGGGCCCCATGTTTCAGAGCTCAGGAATTCACTGTACTAAATTCACGAGGTCAGATGGGTTCATGTTTTCAAAGCCTATGTTCTCTGCTTTGAACACTGTGACTTGCTCCTCAGCAATTTCCAAGGGATTTTTCCAGTCACATCTCTGTGGAAACCACTCTTTTTGTGATGGTTATAAGACCCTTGTAACTGTCCCAGAGGACAAGGAAAAAAAATAAACTTGTTCTGACAATGACTGTGATTCCAACAGAGGGATTCCAGCTCTTAGGAAATTACATTAAAGGTGCATAGCTTTTAAAATATCAGGAACCACCTTGGCAACTTACAAAAAGCAGAAGGGCTTTGCCTATTTTATAAAGTGATTTGCATATACCTGCATAAATAATGTCCCCACCTGTACTTTTATGCATTTAGGTTGAATAAATTAAATTCCATGATCTTTAAAATATGCACTGTCTTTCATTCTCAGACACCATTTTCAGGACCCTTCTCCTCATTTTTTTTTTCCTATGGTAGTAGTGGCTATTTTTTTCCATCTCTCAGCTAATTCAGAGAATCAAAACACTCTGAAGACCAATCTACCACAGCCAGGAATATTACCTCTCTCTGCTTACATTTCTCTTAGCCTTTCTACCTATCAGACCATGAGTTGCATCTATTTTTCATAAGGGAAAATGAGACAGTATATTACTAAGGCAAAAACACAGCACAAGATAAGATTAAGCTCTACTACCTATATGTACATCCAGACTTGCACTGATACACACCTCAAGGACATGCCCATATTAACCTTTTCTTTCCTTGGCCACTGCCACAATCCCTTTAGGAACCATCCAGCTATTAAGCCATACCAATTGTAACTTCAAATTAAAGCCTGGTCAATAGGCCAGCCTCAACCACATTCATTCTGTAAGACAGCAGTCCCCAGCCTTTTTGACACCAGGCACAGGTTTCAGGGAAG